TTATCTGTCTGACAATTCTGGAGGCTGGGAGTCTGAAATCAAGGTGTCAGCAAGGCCTTGTTCCCAGGAGGCAGTTGCCTCTTCTAGCTCCTTTTTAGTGGTTGCTAACAATCCTTGGTGTTATTTGGCTTACAAATAAATCACTCCAATTTTTGCCTCTATCTTCACATGGCCTTCTCTCCTGTGTGTTTCTGTGTCTGTGTCAAAGTTTCCCTGTTCTTAGAACGACACCAGTCATTAGATTTAGAGCCCACACTAACACAGTATGCCCTCATCTTAACTTGATTACATTTGCAAAAACCCTGTTTCCAAGTGAGGTCACATTTACAGGCCCCCTGGGGTTAGGGCTTTGACATATCTTTTGGGGAGACACAATTCAACCCCATACTGTGTTTTATAGTTTTCATTGTATGGATCATTCACATATCCTATTAAATTTATCCTTAAGTAGTTTATGTTTGTGGTTATGATTGCAAGTGGTATTTTTAAATTTTCATTTTCCAATCATATTTTACTAATATGTAGAAATACAGTATATTTTTTTTATATTGACCTTGTATCTATTGACTGTATTAAGCTGTATTAGTTCTAGTAGTTCTTTTGTAGTGTCTTTAGGATTTTCTACATAGACAGTCATGTCTGCACAAAAGACAGTTTTTTCTTCTTTCCCAATTTACATGCCTGATGCTTTTTCTTTTTTTGGTCTTAATGTATTTAATGGCTCTGACTTTCAGTACCATGTTGAAGTGGTAGAGCAAACATCCTTGCTTTGCTTGTGATCTTAGGGCAAAAGCATTGTTAAGTACAATGATGGCTATGGCTTTTTTTTTTTTTTTTTGGACAGAGTCTCACTTCATCACCAGGCTGGAGTGCAGTGGTGCCATCTTGGCTCACTGCAACCTCTGATTCCCTGGTTCAAGTGATTCTCTTGCCTCAACCTCCCAAGTAGCTGGGATTACAGGCACATGCCACTATATCCAGCTAATTTTTGTATTTTTAGTAGAGACGGGTTTTCACTATGTTGGTCAAGATGGCCTCTATCTCCTGACCTTGTGATCCACCTACCTCAGCCTTCCAAAGTGCTGGGATTACAGACATGAGCCACTGCACCCAGCCAGATTTTTTTTTTTTTAATAGATGTCCTTTATAGGTGAAGAAATTTTCTTTTATTCTTAGTTTATTAAGATTGTTTATCATAAATGACTATTGAATTTTGTCAAATGCATTTGTCTTATCAATTCAACTGATTGTATTTTTCTTTCTTAGTTCTATTAATGTTAAATTACATTTATTTTTTCTTTGAATGCTAAATTATTTTTAGATTCCTAGGATAATATCCACTTCTCATAACGTATTTCCTTTTTATATATTAATGAATTTGATTTACTAATATTTTCTTAATGATTGTTTTATCTGTGTTTATAGGGGATATTGGTCTATGGTTTTATTTTCTTGTAATGTCACTGTCAGCATTTGCTATCCATTGATTTTCAGCATTTGGTTGCTATGTATCTACGTATAATTTTCTTTGTGGTTGGTTTTTTTATGTTTAGAGTTCACTTAAACTGCTTTGACTTATGGATTGATAGTTGTTGTCAAATGAGAAAAATACTTGGTCTTTTTGCTTCAAGTATGTTTGCTATCTTTTATGTTCCCTTTGGGAGTCTAGTTACTCCACATGAGACAACTTGATGTTGTCCAGCAGGCTCACGGGGTTCGGATTCTTTTTTACTGTAGTTGTTTTTGTTTTGTTTTGTTTTTTCTCTCTGCGTGCATCAGGTTAGGTAATTTCCATTAATCTTTTCTTATATTGTGTTTTGTTTGCTTTTAAGCCCAAATGTGAATTTCTTAGTATAGATACTGTATTTTTCAGCTATAGATGATCCATTTTTTTAAGTTTCTTTTTTTCATTGTGTACATGTTTTCTTTTGAATTTTTGGACTTATTTACAGTAACATTTAAGAAGTATTTGTCTACCAATTCTATTAATCATTTAGGGGTTTGTTTTTATTGAACCCGCCCCTCCACCCCAATTTTGAGGTCACATTTTCTTATTTTTTCTCCTAATTTGTAATTTTTGATTTGTCATCCTTTAAAGAATATTATGTTTTGATCTGGTAGGCAATTTAGTGACTTGCAGATCCACCTGATCCCTTTAGACTAACTGTAAGTTCTATTAGTGTTTCCAGTACAACTTTCTACACTGATGGACTGGTTTTACCCTCCTCCTAAGGTATAGCATTTCTGGAATCTCTATGGAATGTCCCAGGTATTCTGTAGGTCTCTTCTCTGTGGTTGAGATTCTGAACTCTCCTAGTGTTGTTCCCCTGGTAGTTATTATTTTTCTGGCCTCATGGAGTCTCATCCTATACACACCCAGCTTAGTATTCAGCCAAAGATTCAAGGGGACCCACCCGCAGACTACTGGAGTTCATTGTCCTCACTGCTTCCTCTTCTCTGGCATTCAGCCCTTCAAATTCTAGGTACCTCAGCCTCCCTGAGCTGCAGTCTCTGTCTCCTTAGCTTTGTGAGACAGCTGTGCTCTGCAAGATTGCCCTGTTTCAGTTTCACGTTTGGCGAATGCCTTTGGGAAGGAGTCTGGGCAATGTTAGGGCTTACCTTGGTTTTTATCCTTCTCTCAGGAATCAAAGTCCTGCAGTACTTGCTAACATCTGAAAACAATTTTTCACATATTTCATTCTGAAAGCTTAACTTTTTAGTTGTTTATATAGTAGGAGAGCTAGTCCTGTACCAGTTACCTTATAATTGATTGAACCTTGTTTATGTTTTTAATTGGCCAAGATTTAGCTCACCTCTGATAATTTGTACATACTGCTTTTTCTGCGTGAGGCTCTTTTCCCTACTGCCTGTACCTGACAAGCTCTTATTCATTATTTTTAATGATGAGATTACATTGTCCCATTTTTCCTCATAGTCTTCCTTGATGTTACCAAATCCTGGGTTAATCGTCATACTTGATACTCATAGCACTCTGCATTTACATGTAATTGTAATTACTTGTTATTCTGATTGTATGTAGCCCCCATAAAAACCTAAGCTGTGTGAGGACAAGAACTGTGTCTTATTCACATTATTTCCCTTGTGCTTAACACAGTGAAGATTTCAATCTCTGTGTGTGTATCTCTCCCTTTTGCAATGTTGTATGTGGAGATGAAATTGTACAATTCAAAATGCCCCGAGTACACTAAAGAAAATTTTCAGACTTTCGCTCTGGTTTGGAGAGGGAGGCAATTATAGACAGTTGCCATCCTTATTCAGAACTCTTACTTGTTTTTGTTTTGTTTTTTGAGATGGAGTCTCACTCTGTCTCCAGGCAGGACTGCAGTGGTATGATTTCAGCTCACCACAACTTCTGCCTCCCAGGTTCAAGTGATTCTTTGGCCTCAGCCTCCCAAGTAGCTGGGACTACAGGTGCGCACCACCATACCCAGCTAATTTTTGTATTTTTAGTAGAGACGGGGTTTCACCTTGTTAGCCAGGCTGGTCTCGAACTCTCGACCTCGTGATCTGTCCACCTTGGCCTCTCAAAGTGCTGAATTGTGGGCGTGAGCCACTGTGCCCGGCCCTAGAAGTCTTCTTTTTAAATTTGTCCTATTTCTGCCAAGATTGGTATTTTTTCCTTTAATGTCTATGTTATAACTATTTATATATTTATATTTGCCTACAAGTATTGGTCTGTTTATAATATTACTTATAGATGAAGTTTTTTCTCTTCACCTACAAATCAGTCTCATTAAAAAAAGTATCTTTCACGATAAACACTGTAACCACTTAGTTGCCATAGTAGTTTTGAGGAAGTTAATGTGGCTTAATCTCATGTGGGGTGTGGTGGTGGGTGCACTGTCCCATTGAGGAGCTTTTGATAACAGTAGTTTTCTTAGAAATACTTATTTCATTATTAAATTGAAGAAGATACATTTATGTTGTACTAATCTTATTTATCTTTTGTGTATGGAAAAAGAATATTTCCATTTTTCATTTCACAAGAGTTGTAAGTGAGAGCATTTTAAGATTACTAGTACAGGCTGGGCACTGTGGCTCACGCCTGTAATCCCAGTACTTTGGGAAGCTGAGACTGGCTGATCACAAGGTCAGGAGTTCGAGACCAGCCTGACCAACATGGTGAAACCCTGTCTCTACTAAAAATACAAAAAAAAAAAAAAAAAAAAATTAGCTTGGTGTTGCGGCATGTGCCTGTAATCCCAGCAACTCAGGAGCCTGAGGCAGGAGAATCACTTGAACTTGGGAGGCAGAGGTTGCAGTGAGCCGAGATGACACAATTGCACTCCAGCCTGGGCCACAGAGTGACACTCAGTCTCAAAAAAAAAAAAAAAAAAAGAGTTTAAAAGATTACTAGTACAAAAATTTGTCATGATTTGGTCCAAGTTTGCCTTAAGTTTAAACTTTAAAATTAAAAGTGTTGGCCTATAAGCACTTATAAGCTCTCAGTTATAGTACTGTAGAGCCTTAGAATTGGCAGAGACCTTGAAAGTCATTTGTTCTAGCCTACCCCTCAAGCTCCTGGACAGAGGCCTATTTGAGGCAGATCCTTACATGATTCTAATTGTAGAAAGTTGTAAGAAACTGTAGAAAGTTCTTAGAAAGTAACAGTCAAATTCTGTTTTTAACAAACTTGCGCCCACTGGTCCTACTTCTGCCTTATGTAATTTCCCAGAATAAAGCTAAACTTCTCCTTAGGTTATTTTATGTTACAGCAGTTTAACACCTATTCTGTCTTTCTTTTTGTTTCTTTGCCTAAAGCTTCAGTTGTAAAAGTATTCCTTATTTTGTATCCCTGTTGACATTAAAATACGTCATGTAAGCATGTATCATCCACAAAGGCCTGTATGGAGGATAGTGGAGCATCCTTGATTTGGAAACATACCTGCCCCCATTGTCTCCTGAGATTGTCTTCGCTTATTAGCTCTGATTAATTTATAATTTACACATGTTAGCTTTTTTAATTAAAAAAAAAAACTTTTAAAACATTTTCATTGTTTTATAGGTATGCAATTTATTTTGTATCAAAATGCAGACAATTCTTTTTTAAAATTTTTATAATTCACCATATTGTTATACCTTTAATTTTTAAAAATTTTTGTAATTCAGCCTGTTGATATGCACTTTGTGTTTCATATGCAGATTTGATACATGTTTTTCTGATCTACATGCCAGTAAATAAACTGTGGAACAAGACAAGATCCAGTGCAGAGTCCTGTTAGTTACCTTAGAATTCTAACACTAGTTTGAAGAATTGGGTGGGAAGGTATTTCCACCCAAATGCTTTATCTCTGGGTATGTTTGTTCAGCTAAGAGTGTTCCTAATTGTAGCATGGAGCTCTATTTGGTTCTTAAGAATGCCACCAGAGATTTTTTTTCTAAGTGCTTCTAGTATCATAAGATGATGTTTTCTGGACCCAAATGCTTGAATTATTGATAAAGTGTCAAAGTGTTTTTTTAACTTCTCTATTCTAGGAGGAATCATTTCCATGCCATTTTCATCAAATATTGGGATACTACATGACAAAAAATTCAGAGCTCTTAAGTCAATATTAAGAAAGGTCTTAATTGAATGGCAAAACTCCCATAGTATCATAGCTTTTAAATACTTTATCAGTCATGGAACCTTTTTTCTTAGTTTCATGTCACTTAAAATTCATATCATTTGAAGAATAATAAGCCTTGGTTTTTAGTAAAAGAAATAAGCCAAAACCTTACTCTGATTTATTACTTGTTATTAAAGTAGACTGGGATTCAAAACGATGAGAGCACAGTTGGAGGGTTTTTACTATAGTGTTCACATTTTTTGTGTCATAAATTTGGTTATAGTTCTCTACAGACACTACATTTGTATAAAGAACTCTGTGATAGGCTATTTCTGTCGATGGGATTCCAAAATTATAGACACTGATGTCAATGCAGATGAGGTTAGCCTAATTTGGGCAAGAGAGGGACATGCCGAGTCTCTATATGGATAGCCGAAGGCTATTGCCAAGATTGACAGGTGTCCTGTGAGTGGCAGAGAGCCCCAGGGACAAAATTTTCTCTTGGTTTACTTCTCTAAGAAACAATGAACAGAGCCATTTTTTTTTTTTCCAATTGATCACACTCAAAATAGTGAGGTCTGCTTTTAACTCAATTTCTGGTATTAGCCTTATAAACTCCAGAAAGGTAAAGAGGTTTGTACTTTCTTCTTATAGTATAAAATTCTGTTTTTGAAAGTTTAGGTGTATCTTATGCATTAATTCTTCTAGAATAGTCACCTGTTTTATTGTTACTTTGCCATGTTTTACAGAGGATTTGAGACAACTACAAATTGTTATTAATGTAAAAGAGGTAACTTTATAGAATAATAAACTACATGATTCAACTTAGGAAAAATAAACTTTTAGGAGAATTATCTGAATTATAAGCATATTTATTGTAAAAGAGATTTCATACTAAGTTGAAACAGTGTTTGTTTTTATATCATCTTACTGAAATTTTATTGTTAAAATTTGATTATAAATCACCAAGATAAGTAGTACTAAATAGATCTCAAAATAAGAAAAAGTTTTACAGCCATTAGGTTGAGACATTAAGAAAGCTGAGATTACTACTTTAAGAAAAACTGTAACCTGAGATTTTTGTAAGATTTGAGTAATGTAAATGTGTCATTAGCAATGAAGGCTTTATGACTTTAGGCATAAACTCAATAGTTGTTTCTGTTCTAATAGGAAATGTTCTGATCTTGAAGTATTGTGTCTTGATTATTTCTGTATTACTATGTCAGACATTAATAGAAATTAGGAAGTGGATGCTGGGGGAACCATTTTAGGGTGCCAACCTATTAACTAGCATGAGAAATGAAAGCCAAGAGCCCAGTCCTGCTGAAGACCAAAGAAGATTTCTTAGTGCACTTGTAAACACAGTACAAGTTCCCGTCATGGACCTTTGTGATTGCAGTTAGGTCTAGAGTTAAGGTGAAGCTAGAGTGGTCAGGGCATTTTCATTTCTAGGTTTCAAATACAGTGGAATTTAATTCTGATATAGCTAAAATTTGTTGAGAGTCCACTACAAGCTAGCTATTCATTTATAGATACCACTTACCTCCCATGAAGGGGAGGAAAATAAGGCACAGAGAAATGGTGATTTGCTCATGGCACTGAAGCTGGGAAATAAATCTAGTCTCTCAACTTTAAGCCCAGTAGAGTTTTGAGATGGTAGAAATAATCTATATAGAAATTCATTTCAGTGAGATGACTTTTAGAACTGCCCTTCTTACTGCCTCTTTTTAAATCTTCATCTCAGTTATGATTCTTTAAGTATTGTACCAAAAATAACCATCTTGTATTTGCTTTTTCAAAACTTGACTGTTTTTGAGCAGTTGATAGGAAGAGAATGTGAAGGAGGAAAGGGTAGCATCCCTGGGCGAAGCACCGAGGCAGTAGGCTGATTTGAAGTGTATAGCCCAGGCCAGAAGGGCAGAGAATGACCTGCAAGCCTAAGGCCCAGGCTGCAGCCTCTTACAGATGACCGCTAGCGTTTCCCTTGCGCATTGGCCTGAGATACATTCTGCTGCTCTGTCCCATGCCCAGACATCCTTCAAGTTTGGTTACTAGAGCCTTACTGGGAGAGAGAGTAATCAGAGGCCTTGACAGTCTCATATTAAAGCTAGTCTCATGGCAAAAATAAAAATGTTATCTGGATTTGTGCAAAGATTAGTATTACAGCTTGTTAGTTCTGTAGCAAGAAGTGAAAAGTTTGTGGCCATGTGTTAAGAATGGTTTCAAGTTAGGAAAATTTGGATTTACACCTATAGATTTAATTTACACTTCATTTTGACAAGCCTGGAATTGAATTATCTTTTAAATAAACTCTTTGCACTGAGGATTAGGTAATGAAAATGACATTATTTTTGAACCATTTGTGTTCTTTTCAAATATTTTAGGATCATCATTTGTGTACACTGATAATCGGATGATGTCTTGTCATGGACTGCAGTCACTCCTGAGTGTTTCTTCAGTGAGCCCAAGCTATCTTTACCTCTCTGTGGGAACTCTGCAACAGTGGCCTAACTAGCTCATCTATCCCCTACCCCCACCTCTCTATACTTGACCAAAGTGGTCTTTTTAAAAAGCAAAATCTGCTAAAGTAGTTTAGCAGATTGGAATTCAGACAAGACATCCCCAGGTAGCCCACGTAGGGCCTGGCCTCTGCTCCCCAGGGCTGCAGCAGCATCTGGCTCCTCCTCCTTGCCCTTGAGCCGCCCTGGTCTTTCTGTCTCTCAGACTTGCTGGGCTTGGTTTTGTCTCACCCTTTGGCCCTCATGCCTGTTCTTCTGTCTGCACGATCTATCTTCTGTCTTCAGTTTTTGCACCATCACATTTCATCTCAGCGTCATTTTAGGGATTCTGGAAGAAGTCCTTCACCTCTTAACTAGGTCAGATTCAGGTTTTGTTGGCATTTCCTGTCTCTGCTTCATAGCAGTTGTTACAGTTGCGCTTTTGTGTTTATTTACATAATTTGATTAATGCAGACTCTTGACTAAATTGCAGGCACCACAAGGGCAGGAACCTTGTCTGCTTTTATTTGATGCTTACATCCCTGCCATCTGATACAGAGCCTGGTACATATTAGCAGCTTAATAAATATTTGCTGAATACTTGAATTAACGTTTCACAAAAGGCATTTTCTCAGCAGTATTATCTGCAACCTCTAGGTCATGAAGGTGGATGAATAGAGGCACACTTTGTTATTAGAAAGCTCATTCACAGCCATGAGAACAAGATTTGTACCAAAAGTATAAGTTAGGTTGCAGTTAGGGCTTGAAAATAGTATGTCCTTAATTATTTGAAAATGCACTATTAGACTAGCTTTTTTTCAGTAAGTCAAAAATGAGCAAATCATAATTGTAAGTAGCATAGATAAACAGCCTCTAACATTCATAAAGCAGTTCTATCTCTAAAAGAAATAAGAAGTTGAACAAATTTCAATTAAAAATTGAAAAGATGAAATAAAATGCATTAATATTTTAAAATGTCACAGGACACTATGCTTGTGAAACAGGTCTACGTGAAAAGAATGAGGACATTTTTAGTACTACCAAACATTTTTTGAAAGCTGTTTTAAGGCACTCTGTTAGTGCTAAGATTATAGAAGTGTTTGAGGCCAGCCTGAGGCCTCTTTTGTCTTCATTTTGTTAGACTGTTAGGTCAGCGCTCACTAAAGTCTTTTCCCTCCCCTCTTCCAACATTACTTAGGCAGTTCTACCCTAACCCTGGGGTTGTGGCATGAAGCATGCGCTGGGTAAGAAGGCTGGCTGGGTAGTGCATTCCCAAAGGAGTCAGGTGATCACTGTTGGAAGGCAGCTGCTTGAGGTCCAAGGCAGTCAGTGTCCCCTCTCTTTTGCCTCAGGACAGCTGGTTATTTATTAGACTCCTAAGAAGTTTCCCTTGCTCCCTAGTAGAAGAGAGAGATTATGCAGCGGGGTTTTGATTGATCCAATGGGAATTACATTGATCTGGTGTCTGGCTTTGGTTCTTATCAAGTGGATCACCTCTAAGGTAGGCCATCTTTATTTTTAGAATGGTGACATTCATCATTATTAGTTTATATATTTGATAGGAATGAAGTAGCTCGACGATTTTCTTCCCCTTTTACCTCAGTTTTTATTTCTGTGATTAAAAGAGCTGTGAGTTTCATCTGTCTGCCAAAGGACTTAAATTTACTACTTGTAGTTTTTATTCTTGTCCCACATGATTCCTTCTTAAGGGCTTTTTATAGCATCTTTCCTCAATATCAAAGCAGCATTCCTCAGTATCACTGCCTTAAAGAAGTTTCTATGACTAAAGAAGTTTAATTTTTAAGATTACAAAATTAAGTTATACTTTTGGTATACATATCTTAAACATTCTCTCAGAAAATTTAACAACACTTGTGTATTTCAAGTATAATTTTGAGGATTTCTAAACAGTTATAAACTTTTTAAAAATGAAAAACCACCCTCTATCATGGTCTCCCTTAAGGTCTTGCTATTGCTAAAATATATGCCTTATCTGTAATATATTGACATAAATGTAGGATTTTGAAGTTAAATTCTAAACGTCAGGCTTGAGAAATTCTTGATAGAATGCTAGCTAACCATTTGCCATCTGGACAGGGTCTAAAACGAAAGTAAAAATATTTAAAATTATACTATTTAAAATTATTTTTTCTATACTTCTATAAAAATGATTTTATCGTTCATCTACCTCACAGCTTTCGTCTTTCTAGTCTGAGAAACTGATTTTTAAGGCCACCACTTAACTAAGAAACAAAGCTTCTATAAAGTTAATTTTCTTTCTCAAGCAAGATTTTAATACCTGCTATGTAATTTTCCACATTTAAACATAACATTTTAAGCATAATTATCTCTTAACTTGAAGTGTTCTTTTCTTAGTGACTATGATTGAGGAAATCTCTTAAAGAAAAATAATATATTCAGATTTTAAAATCTTTGTGTTTTAAAAGTTAAGAATTAATTTTGTTGCACTGACAGCTATTTACTCGTTTTTAAAGGATTGACTTGCCAAGTTATTGAATGAAGGTCAAGTTAATGTTAATAATACATTGGTTGTCTTGTGGGTGTTTTCAGAGACTTTACTTTTTTAGTTAGGTTTTTTTTTTTTTTTCTTTTTTTCTGTAGAGATGAGGTCGTCTTATGTTGGTCAGGCTAGTCTCAAACTCCTGGGCTCAAGCAATCCTTCTGCCTCAGTTTCCCAAAGTACTGAGACTATAGATGTGAGCCACTGCACCTAGCCTCTAGACTTTACTCTTTTAATGACCACCAAAAAATAAAATTGTTTTTAAACAAAAAGAATATTTTATTTTTTTTTTAAATCTTTTAAAAAGGAAGAAAATGGGAAGGATACTATTTGGTAGATCAGTGCAATATTTAAGTACTTTAGCCACTCAAGTACAAGCATGTTTTTCTAGCATATGTAAGTAAGATGACTACTATGAAAAAGCTTATTTTGCTATGTCAGAAGAACTTCACAACTTTGGCTGGGCTTCATCTTTTGCTATATTTTTTTTTTCAGTAATGTTGCCAAAAATTTTATTCAGTGCTCCTTTGTTTAAGCCCTTTAAACATCAGTTTATGAATCTGCAAAATGGAACTAATAAAGCCTACTACTGTATAGAGATCTTGTATGGGCTAAGTGAGATTTCGTGTGAAAACACTTGGAACATTTTTTTGGCACAAGGTAGGACCACAGCAAGTGTTAGTTAATATATTATTACTCTTACCATGTAATGGAAGTGCACTTGCTTTTGCTCAATAAATCATTTAGTGGAAAACTTGGAACAAAATAAAAACAATGGCACTTAAAATATCTTTGCTGGGTTATAAAACATGTCTATCTTTAAAAGTTATGTATTAACTAATACTGGGAACAACTTTTGCACCTTTTATCATTTACCTTCAAGTCAAATCTTTTGTGGAAGAATGATTCACCCTGATTCAAGGTGAGTCTTACTAGGACACTCAGAACTCCTGCTAGTGAGGCAGTGGGTCCTTTGGTGCTTTACAGTTTAACTTGTTTATGCTGCTGCTGTCAGTTTCTGATTAGCTCAGCCTCGCCCATGTTTTGACCTATACTAGTTTGCTTTACAAGCTGTTCCCAGGATGGCTAAATTAGAAAAGTCACGAGTAGAAGCTTCTCAGTTATTTCCATTCACTGGTGAAGTGAGGTGGGAGTGTGGGTGATAGCTCTGAGACTGACAGTGTGACACAGGATTTTTGATGAAATTTGTTTTGCTGATATTAACAAGAAAATTCTAGTAGCATATGGTTTTTAAAATGATAATCTTTAAAGAAATCTTTGTTACAAGTGCAGCAGTCTTATATAAAAGTAGATATAATTATTTTTAAAACAACATGATTCTAACACAGAAGTCAAATTTTTGTTATAACTCATAATTTATAGTGTTTTTTTTCCAAAAAGAGTTCCTGTAGATTATTCTGCCTACCTACCTTAGACTATTCTACCTAGTGAGAGAACTTAATAATATTCATTTTAATTTTAATTCTTAAGCGGGTAGAGGAATGAATTATCACTCAGGATGTAAAGCTATGTCTTGTAGTTCAGTATAGCATTTAAACTAAGTATTTGTAGAATAGCCTTACTTACATTAGTACCTTATAATGAATAGAGTAACTTGGATATGTTGCACAGCCCTATGTAATTTGTAGCTATTTTAAAATTAAACTCTGCTTTTTTTGCTTAACAAACTAAGATTAATACAGACTGTACCATTTTAATATCTAAATTAGTGCTTCTATAAATGAGGCTAAAATGATTACCTTCATAAGTTTAGTATGCCATGGCATGGTCTAGACTATGTGCATTACCCAGTTTTTGACTTAATATTATTTTGTGATATTTAACAGAGAGCTAGTATTGGTCAGTCTTTTACAATTCTTAATATGTGAAGTGATAAATATGATTTTTACCTTTCTAAATAGCAACTGTTGTAGTAAATACCCTTCCTACATTACAAAAATCATCATAATAATAATGTCAGCTATCCTCCTAAAGAGAACTGTTAGAGATAACAGCTTAAAGTTATTTTAACAAGTTATTTATCTAAGTTATTACTGGATACCAGCAAATTGATAGGTCATGACAAGCTATTACATAATATCTGTAGTTTCATTAATTTGCTGTAGCTGATAGAAATATTTATTGCCACATATGCCCTTCCTAGGCTACTAGGTTTACCCCTAGATTGGTGGTTTTAAGGAGAGGCCTCTGTAATATAGTAAGCTAAATATCATGGGGAGGGGATTTGCACAGTAGTTATGGGTGGTGCCTTTTTTTTTTTTTTGAGACGGAGTTTCGCTCTTGTTACCGAGGCTGGAGTGCAATGGCGCGATCTCGGCTCACCGCAACCTCCGCCTCCTGGGTTCAGGCAATTCTCCTGCCTCAGCCTCCTGAGTAGCTGGGATTACAGGCACGCACCACCATGCCCAGCCAATTTTTTGTATTTTTAGTAGAGACGGGGTTTCACCATGTTGACCAGGATGGTCTCGATCTCTTGACCTCGTGATCCACCTGCCTCGGCCTCCCAAAGTGCTGGGATTACAGGCTTGAGCCACCGCGCCCAGCCGGGTGGTGCCTTTTAACAGTGGCTGTTTGCTCCAGAATAACTACCATGAAACACTGCAGGAGGCTTCCTTAGGATGTTCTATTAGTGGAAGACACTTTAAGCATGTTGCCAGGTGTGTATTCTATATGATTTGGTCCCTTGGGATTTAAGATCATGCTTTTCTTTTGTAAATTTCTTTGTAGTAGATTTTTTTTTTATTTTAATTTTATTTATTTTGTGAATATATGATAATTATACACACTGCTGCAAGACTCAAAAAGTACAAAGATAAACATTGAAAAGCCCCTCTCCTATCTCTGTGTCCTTCAGCCTCCTTGGAGACACACAGTAGTGATAGAATTTTATTTTTGTTTGAAATTGTTTTCCTCTTATATTTCATGAACTGTGTTTTATTAGAACTTGTGAAATCATGTAAGATTTTAATTGATATTTTTCTCTTAAAATATAAGCATTAAAGATAAAATAATGTTTTGGATAGTTGTTTTACACACTAAATCCAAGTGAGGGCTTTAAGTACATTTTCAATATAATAATAGTAAAAAATGTGATTGTTTTCTTTGAGATTTGTAGGTATATTTTGAGGAGTTATAAATTCCGTGCCAGAGTCTTGGGAGGGAAGAGGATCATTAATCTGATATGTAAAAATACAATTTCATTGCTTTAATAAGTATTTCTTTTGTTAATGAAGTCAAGCATTTTTTTTTGTATTTATTGTTTTATTTTCCCCTTATGAATAGTATGTTTATGTCCTACCTATTTTTCTATAGCTTTTTAGTCGTTTTCTAATTGATTTGTAAGGCACTTAAAAGTTTTTTTGGTTGGGGGATAGTAAAGGAAAATTAGCCCTTTGTTGTATCAGTTGAACTCATTTTTCTGGGTTTGAAGTTTATTCTTTGTTTATGGTATATTTTACCATCAAAATTTAACTTTTAAGTGGCCAAATTTGTCAGTGTTTCATGACTTAGGGGTTTTTATGAGATAATTAGAAAGGCCTTCCTATTTAAGACTTTTAAAAATACAGTCCTGTTTTCTTTTAATATTTTTGTGCTTTAATTTTTAACATTTAAATCATTGTTCTATGTATAATATATTTTGGAGTGGGAAGATGATAATACACCTTTATGTTTTTCTAGACAGCACCGTGTAATCTAATGTTATTTATTAAAAATCAGTATTTCTGCCACAGATTCTAAGTCCTGTATTTATCATGTACAGAATCACTGTATACTCTTGGATTTGCTTCTAGAGCCTCTGTTGATTATTTTCTCTATTTATTTGCAGTGTCACACTACTTTGTTAATATCCCATGGTGCTAGTTCATTCACCCCCTCTCCCCTTTTTTTTGAGGCTAGGTCTCTCTCTGTCTCTCAAGGTGAAGTGCCATGGTGCCATCATAGCTCACTGTAGCCTCCAAATCCTAGGCTCAAGGGATCCTCCTGCCTCGGCCTCCCAAGTAGCTGGGATTACAGGTGTGCAGCACCGTGGCTGGCCTATTATTACTTAAAAGAAATGTTTTTGCTTGTTAATTTAACTAATTTTACTGATCACTTTTGACATGCTAGGCACTGTTCTAAATGTTGGGATTTATCCTAGATCTGGGAATATAGCAGTGACTGAAATAGCTGTCTCCACAGAGCTTAGATTCTATGTCTAAGCTCTGATTTGGTCAATTTTATCTTCCTCATTTTAAAATCTATCCTCATTTATATCCATTCTGTTAATCACTAATTTATTTATCAGTTGTTATTGATTTATTTACCAAACTTTTATTTAGAACTTACTAAATAATAGGTCTTGTTTTAGAAACCAGGGATGCAGTGATGATAAGACAAACATAAGTTTCTGCTCTTGTGGAGCTTTTATTTTAGTAACACATTGACAAGATAACGTTGGCTGCGTGCCACACAGAGGACTGAGATAGGGAGCTGTGGAAGAGGCTGGGTTCCAGGTGGCTCTAGATTTGGTAGTCAGGGAATCCCTCTCTGAAGAGGTGACGCTTTGTCTAGAACCTGCAAGGTAAGAAGGGAACAATGAAGCAGTGATCCAGGATGAGGGAACAGCAAGTGGAAAGGCTGTATATTTGGTACAGATGAGGAAAAGCAAGGAGGCCAGCTTGGCTGTCTCCTAGCAGTGGGGAAGGCCAAAGTACAAGAGGGCACAGAGGTAGGCAGGTCACAGAGGACTCTTCGAAATTAAAGCTTGGGGAGCCCCAAGTGTAATGGGGAGCCATTGGACAATTTTGAGCAGAAGCTGAAATGCTTACTTTTGCTTTTATGTGAAGCATGGAGTGGGGGCCAAAGAGATGCATCAGGAAAGCCAGTGGATTGTCCTTTCCTTTCTTTTCTATTAATATTTGGCAACTCCTATCAGTCCCTTTTGCGTCAACTCAGATGTCACCCCAAAACCTTTACCAACTTACTCAAACAGATTAATTTTTCAAAGAGAGGCTGTATGTGCCTCTCTTTGTACCCATTTTTATGGTAGTTCTTAACCATACTGTATTGCAATTTGTCATCCTCCTACCCCAGAGAGTCCAAGGACAGGTACCATATCTAATTTCGTTTTGTGTACCCAACTTCTCTTGCACAGTGCTTCACAAATAATAAATGATAAATACATGTTTATTGAGTTGAATCATATTTGTCATATAATATGTGTATTTTTTTTTGTAGAGGCGTGGAGCTATTTCGTATGACAGTTCTGATCAGACTGCATTATACATTCGTATGCTAGGTAAGCATTGTTTATTTTGTACCAATATCACTTAATTTTGTTATTTTCTGTTATTTGAATTTGAGGTATCTTTCGTTAGGTGGCTTTTCATAGCTGTTGGTAGCAGAAATATCCTATTACCTAATGGAGTTTAGAGTCTGGAAACCAATATTGAATGTGATGTGAATAAAGAGAGGTATTTTAGAGTTATAGGTAATTGAGAAATCTTTGGCTTAATACCTGGGACACTGTCATTAGTACACATTTTTAAATTGCGTCTTGAACATTCTTCATAGAAAATAGTCTTAGATTTGTAGTGACTAAATGCCAAGTAGATGAATGCCAGCGTGGACAAAGGTGAGGCCATGAAACACCTCAGATAGTCCTATTCTCAGTTGGCTGGCAAGGAAGACCATTTGACTGCTTCTAGTTCTGGTGCTTAAGTTTTTTATATATTACTCAATTCCACAAGGTAGAATGAATTTAGATATGTGCATATATATGTCTAATTTTCTTTCGCTCTTTTTCTCTGTACCAGATTTCTGTCTTCATCCATGTCTCCTTCATCCTTGCACTTAAACTCATATTATTAAACATGCATATTAAGATTCCAACAGGCAAATTTATTCACTTTTTGCTAGAAGACTCTCCCACGACTTCTCCTCAGCTCAGAATTCCTCCCTCAACTTTATGATATTGATCCATCCTTATTCTTCACCTGCTTTTGTTTTTTCTTTGCCACCTTCACTAATTGCTTTTCATACTTTCAAGCTGAAGTACTTGCCTCAGTTCTTTTCTACTCCAGTACATATTTTTCCTTTACAAATGTGCAGCCTTTTTCTCCTTGCTGTCTCCATCTTTCTCTAACAAACATGTTCAGGATTTTGCTGTCCTTAAGACAGAGCTTTGGATTCATATTTTCTTTAACTCTGTAGAACATCTCCATGTGAATGTTATAAATATCTCAAACTTAACATGTCTAAAGTGAAACATTTGTTTCCCATGTCTGTCTGTTTCTGCAGTCTTTTGCCATCTCAGTAAATATAACCCCCTTCTTCCAGTCCTCAGGTCAGAAACCTCAAATCATATTTGACTTTCTGTTTCTTGCATACTCCATATTGAATTCATCAGCATATCCTACTGGGTGATGCCTTAGAATACACCCACAATCTCACCACACCAATGCTGTTGCCACCACATTTGTTACTTACTCCTTAACTGAAGGCCCTGCATCTACCTTTGTTCACTGACTCTCTTCTCATCTCACTCCTCTGTTCAGAAATCTCTGATAGCCGCAAAGATCCAGCATGATCTGACCCCGCTGCCTCTCCACCCCACCCACACCGGTTCCCTTCACTCACCTTGTTCCTGCCATGCCGGCCTCTTGGCTTGCCCTTGACTGTGCCAAGCATGCTTCTGTCTCAGGGAGTTTACGCTGGCTCTTCCTCGTGTCTGGAAGCCTCTTCCTCCCTGGCTCACTGCCTCACTTGCTTCAGGTCCCTGTTCAGATGGCTCCTTTTCAGTGAGGACTTCTCTGACTGCACTAATTAGTCACCCTCCTCTCTTTATTCCTCTTACATTTAGTTTTCTCTGTGTGACTCATCAACTTCCATAGACCGAAATTTGGTATTTATTATTTGTGTCACACACAAAAAGATAAGCTTCATGAGGACAGTGACAGGGACTTTGTGTATTTTTCTCACTGCTCTGTGCTTGATGTGTTAACATTGTTGCAGCATGAAGGAATGGCCACAGGACAGGTGACCTGTCATTTTGGGATGGAATTATAGTCGATGAAGTGAGCCTTGGAGGAAATGATGGTCTTACTGAAACAGAGTAAGCAGGAGAGCCCTCTAGGCAAGCAGAATTGCAAGAGCACAGGGATAGAGGCTGAAGATTTAAAGGTTATGAATTTGGAGGCTCTAAAAGTGAAGTGGGAAGAGTGCTGTCCTTGAAACCCATGGAGCTAGGTTTAAATCCTGGCTTACCCTTTGCACTAGCTTTGTGGCATGGAGCATGCTATTTAACTTCTCGAAGTCAAGTTTTTGAATCTGTAAAATGAAAATTAAGATTCCTATCTCTGAGGGTTGATTAGAAAAGAAAAGAAAATAATGCCTGTAAAACACAAAAAGAGTGTATAGAACATGGTTGCTATGGTTATGTTGCTGTATAGAGAAATAAATCTGGAAGTAATGTGGGCACATGTAGGAACAACACTGAGCTTATGAAGACCAAAGTTTAAGGCTCAGCTAAAGGCCTTGGGTGCACCCACTGTCAGTGAGAAAGGAGTGATTAATCAGATTGACTTTACAATAAAGTCTTTAACATTTAAAGTTTTTATACATTTATGAAATTGTAAACTGCTTGAAAATAAGTAATGTATTTTACATTTTTCATGTCCCTTTTAGCCCATAATATAGTGCTAGGCACAGAGTCAGCTCTTAATATAATATATTGCTTCTTGCTACGGCTTTCTCAAGTTTTGTGCTGAGGATTTTCAACCTGCTGTAAAACAGATACTGTTTTCCAATGGTCTTTTTTTTTTTTTTTTTTTTAAGTTGCCCATGTGAATAATATGTTAGGTCATCTTATACACTTGAATCATCTTTCAGAAGTCCAACCTGTTAAAATATAGATTATTGTAATTATTATTGTAGGGATAGATTTTTTAAAAATCCTATTCATTCAGCCTTACAATTCATTCCTGAAATTTTGTGAACCCTTTCAAATACATCAGCTCTCAACTACCTGGTTTCAGATATATCATCAGTGGGCTGTTACTTATGAATATGATATCATGTGGACCTTTGTTGCATATGGAAGCTTCTTCCCAAATGACAACCTTATAAACTTACATTTTATTTTTGATTCTGTCCAGGAGATGTACGTGTAAGGAGCCGAGCAGGATTTGAATCAGAAAGAAGAGGTTCTCACCCATATATTGATTTTCGCATTTTCCACTGTAAGTGTTGGTAGACATGAAGTTTAGACTTTCACTAAACTTTAACTTTTAATAAAATTACATTGTTTTCCAAGGGAAAAAAAATCCAGAAAGAAACTGTATTATGTTTGGAATGTTTTTAAAAACGAAGTCATGTAAATGACACTATTTCTAGGTAACATTAGTAAATGCTTAGAGACAACTTTAGAAGAGGAAGATACTAAAATATGAAAGTTGATATAGCTTTTCTCCTTTCTAATTTATTACATTGTTTTCTTCTTTAAAAAATTGTTTTATTCCAAATGATTTGTCTTTGTTACTTCAAATAAAATGGTTTTGTGCAAATGATATTTTATGAAGGTATTTCAGTAGTTTAACAAGGTGTTATCTGTTAGGTTTATTTGAAAATGTAAATCACCTTTAAAGATGCTTGGTAGAATGCCTATTTCAAAAACAAACATTCTATGTGGATCTGGCCTGTAATAGAGGGAAAGGGAAAAAACAGAACTTCTAAATGCCTTAAATACTAAGCATATTAAATCTGTTTCTGGAGGAGTTCAACTTTCTCTAATGTTGGCTAAAGTAATTTGGATCGATACTCTAAAAAAAATGAGAAAAACTATTCAAAATGTAAAAGATGTGTATGTATTCAAATACTATCTGAATGCTATTGAGGCAGAGAGATAAGCCCAGCACTTCAGGCCACTTTTCTCCTTAGTAGCATGTGCTGATTCTGGGAAAGGTGGAGAGAAGATGAGCAGAGCTTTTTATGGACACTTAGGGCTAGAGAAACAAAAACAGGTGTTTACAGCCCAGCAAGGTTGGAAGATTGGTGTTGATAAACCACTCAGGCTTAGTTTGGAATCCTAAAGTGCTATGCCTTAGAAATAAGTCCCAACTTTGAAATATCTCACTTACTGAATACATTAGGGCGATCTGTGACTCATGTTTCTAGCCACCTGCAGGACAGAGACGTTACTCATCCCTTAAGTTTGCTAGCTGCAAACACAGCCCTGGGACATGTCCTAGGCAAAGACTATTCAGGGCTTTGCATTGTTAAGACATCAGTAAGAATGTGCAGGAACACTCAGGGCCTCTGAGGAGGATTACTTCTCCCGATAACAAATGACCCTAAAACTTACTGGCATAAAACAACCATTATTTTTAATGCTCTTGATTCCAAGAATCAGGAATTCAGTCAGAGTATATCAGGTTTGTCTTGCCTGTGCTCTACAGTGTCTTGGTCTTTGATTGGAATGGTTTAGACAGCTAAAAATGGCTGGGATAGTGGCACTGGAGCCTTATGTCCAGGGCCTTGGTCCCTCTCCTGTCATCTCCTAGGGCTGGAACCTCTAAGATCACTTCTGCACTCTTAGGTGTGGTGCCAGCGTTTTTCTCTCTCCATAAATGGCAGTCTCAGGGAAGTGTTAGGGTAGTTGGACTAATTACATGATATCTGCTTTCTCTGAGAGCAAGCATTTCAAGAAAGAGGAAGTGTGGGGACTCGAGTGTCTGAAGATCTGGGCCTAGACCTGGCATAGCATCACATTTCCATATTCTGTTGATTAGCTGTGTCACACAGCTTGCTCAGAGTCATGGAAAGAAGACACAGCCCTCCCCCCACCCCGATTGTCAAAGGGTACAAGGTCAAAATCTTTTTAATCTCCCATTCTTTAATCTGGCACAAAATGTTTTGAAAAGGTAATTAAGATCCCAGAAGGAGACGAGAGAGAAAATGTAGCAGGAGCAGTCTTTAAAGAAATAATGGCTGAGAAATCTCTATACGTTGATAAAAGACATTGAAGCACAGATTCAGGAGGTGGTATAAATCTCAAGCAGAGTAATATTAAAAGAAAATCACACGCAAGTGTACCGTAGTACAACTATGAAAACCAAAATCAAAGAGAGAATTAAAAGTAATGAGGGGTGGTGGACTATTACTTTCAAAGGAGCAATTATGAGATTGCCAGAAACAGATTTTTCATTTTCCACAGAAACTAGAAGGTAGAAGGCAAAAGAAAGATAACTGTGATGTGCTAGAAAAAAATAAACTGTCAAACTAAAAATGTCATCGTCATCCACAAACTCTGAAAAGGACACACTTCACAATTTATTATGTAAGGCTAGCATGTAATCTTGATACTACAACATGACAAGGATATGCCAAGAACAGAAAATAACAGCCAAATCGCTCATGAATATAGATGAAACATTCTAAATAACATCTTACCAATTATATCTATAACACAAAGGGAGAATAATATGTTTTGACCCAATTTGTATTTTTCCAGGAATATAAGGTTGGTTTAACAGTGAAAAATCAATCAGTGTAATTCACTATTTTAATAGAATAAAGGGGAAAAGTTATGGATAGGTTAATACGCGAATGCTGAAATGGCAGTGCTAAATGCCAGGATGACCAAATCCTAAGAAAAACATTTGATAAAATTCAACATTTGTTCTTCCTTAAAATTCTTAGCAAGCTAGGAACAGAGAAAAACTTCAACAGTCTGAAACATTATCCGCAAAACTAGCAAACATCATATTTAATGGTGCAATATTAAAACATTCTTTCTGAGATGAGAAATTAAGAATATCTTTCATCATCTTTTCTATGCAGTATGTCAGAGATCCTAGCCAGTATAATAATTCAAGAAAAAGAAATTAAAAGTATAAGGGTTAGAAAAGAAAAAGTATCATTTATATAGATGACATAGTTATGTTCTTAGAAAATTGTTAGGATTAATAAGTGAATTTAGCAGGTTTCCTGGATACAAAGTATGTAGTTGTATTTCTGTAAAGTAACTGAGAAAATTGAGATAATATATAATTTGAATTTACATCAAAAAATATCAAATATGTAGGGATAAATCTAAAGATATGTAGATAAATCTAAAAATATTTTATATCTGCCTAGAAAACTATAAGACATTACAGAGGAAAAATAAAGATAAATAGAAGTATATAGGCTGTTGTTTATGGATTGGAAGATTCAGTATTTAAAGATGTCAGTTTTTCTTCTTTTCTAAGTTGATCTATGTAGGTTTAGTGAAATCACAGTGAAAATTCCAGCAGTTTGATTTTTTTTTTAAATAAAATCAACAAGGCGATTTTAAAACTTACACAAAAGTTGAAAAAGCCAAGAATAGCCAAGACAGGAAGAAGGACCAAATTATAGAGTTTACATCTCACAGATATCAAACTTATAAACAATTAAGTCAGGGTGATATTATTCAAGGACTGACAAATAAAGGCATACTGTAGAATCCAGTATATGGATATTTAATTTGTGTTGGTAATGCAGTGGGTAGAAGATAAATAATGCAGTGGGTAGAAATAGTGATTTCATCAAATCAAGTGGATACCCATATAGGGAAAAAAAAATGAATCTTGGCCCCTGTTCACACCATATATTAAAAAATAACAAAAAACACACAAATTTTGATTGATAAACTTTGCCAAATTATGCTGATAATTCAGGTAAGATGAGGAACGCTAAATCAATAAGATTGACTTAGCAATGTGGACATGGTGGTAGCGGAAGCCTGAAATTAAAGTGAATTTAAGAGAGAACAGAAAGATGGGAATTAGATATAGCAAGGACACACAACTCTTTTAGAAAATTTTGGTGCAAAGAAAAGGGAAAAAACAAGAGAGGCAACTGACAAAGGAAATAGGACACTGAAACTACAAATTAATAGCAAAGCTAGAAAACAAAAAATCCTGGTCACCTGGAAATTTTTCAAATTCTGAAATAAATACTTATTGGGTCAAAGAGGTAAACTATAAAAAGGTGATAATTAAAGACTATATATGAAAACCTGTGAAATTCAGCTAACATAGTGCTTACAGGAAAATTCATTGCCTTAAAAATACTACATGCATAAATGAGAAAGAATGAAATAAGTCAACTAAGTAGTCAACTCAAAAAGTTAGAAAAATAATATCAAAATACACCTAAGATAAAGTAAGTAGTTGATAAAGATAAACAGAAATCAATGAACTAGAAAACTAAAATAAAAGTTAGAATTCTATGTCCGGGCGCCATGGCTCATGCCTGTAATCCCAGCACTTTGGGAGGCTGAGGCGGGCGCATCACAAGGCCAAGAACTCGAGACCATCCTAGCCAACAATATGGTGAAACCCTGTCTCTACTAAGAATTAGCCGGGCATGGTTGTAAGATGATGCCAGTGCACTCCAGTCTGGTGTAGATCGAGACTTCATCTCAAAAAAAAAAAGCAAAAGTAGAACTCTATTATAACTAAGAGCTGGTTGTCTGCAATAAGACAAATAAGTTGCTAGCTAACTTAATCAAAGGCTGAATGGAGCTAATATGCATACACAAAGTAAAAAATAAGAGGGGAGAATACCACAGATAAGGAGAAAATAAAAGAATCAAAATGGATTACTTTACTTGACCCCAAAAATATATTTGAACACTTGTATGATCCAGAAAATCTTCTTAAAAATTACAGTTTATCAAAACTGAATGTGTGTTCTGGGATCCTCCAGACCATTTTGGGGGTCTGTGAGGTTAAAACTGCCTTCTTAGTAATGCCAAGATGTTATTTGCCTTTTTCACTTCTATTCTCTCTCAAGGGTACAATGGAGTTTTCTAAGGCTGCATGACAATGTCTCAGTACATTCCATGTATTAGCAGATATGAGAAACAGCCAAACATTTCTCACTAAATTTTTCTTTGTTTTGGACAATATGGTTATTCTTAATAAAAATGTTATTTATGTATAACATGTTACAGGTTTACAGTAATAAATATTTTATATTTTTAAATACTATTTAGCCATTAAATATTTTCAAATAAAGTTTGTTTTATATATTTTTAAATTAACTAAATATTTAAGTAATAAAATTTTAATTTCTGTGTGGTAAATATTGACAGCTGTAACCTACATAAAGTTATTGGATTGTCAATAATTTTTAAGAGTGTGAGAGTCCTGAGAACCAACGTGTTAGAGAAAGTTGCATAAGAGTTACCTCTCTAAAAACCTGAGGGCCAGGGATTTTACAGGCAAATTATTTAAGATCTTGAAAAGATTGGTGATTAGTTTCAAAGCTCTTTAAATTTTCAGATTACAAAAAGGGAACCATTCAGAGTAACTTTATAAACCAAATGCAACTTTTTAGAAGTATAATATTCTCACTACAAATGTCAGTACAAAAAAATATTTTAAAAATACTAGCATAAGGGATTTCCAACAGCATGAAGGAATACTTCAGCCATAGTAGGGTTGTCTCAGGAAAGGAAGCAAGGATGATTCAATACATAGTTTTTCTGCAATAGTGTAGCAGAAATGGTAACACTGGTTGCTTCCAGAATGGAAACTGGGTGGCTCAAGGAGATGGGAGGGGCAAGAAACTTTATTGTAGACCTTTTGAATTTTGACTCAATGTGAATGTATTGCTCATTGGAAAGTTTAAGTAAAACTATTTTTTGATGTTGGAATAAATAAGGATTGGCTGTGGGTAAGGAAATCAGTAAAAAGTCTAAATTATGATATTTGTATATAAAAAAAGTACAATTGTTTTGGAGTCTCCAGCCTACCCCCTAACTTACTGAATTTAGTGAAATAAGAGAATTTGAAAAATATAATTGTTAGAAGTTTTAAATAGGGGACATAAAGGGACTTTTTGGTGGTGGGGGGGCATTAAAATGATTAGATTGTTAGAAGTATCTCTAATGAAATTAAAATAGGATGTATAGTATCTAATTTACTAGGAAACCAGGAGCAAATAAATCTAAAAGACAAGAGAGGGAAGACCAAACACGTCAGTATTACTAATAAAGATAAATGGGTTAAATGTTCCTTTTAAGAGATAATTAAGCTGAAATTGGATAATAAATGAAACTTAATGACAAAAAATGGTTCAAAATAACATGAAGCAGAACCAGGCTTGAGGTTTTGGTGCCTATACTTATATCCTGATCCACTGATTTGGAAGCTTTGTAGTATGGTATTTAGAACATTGGAGGCAGCTCAGTGTTAAGAGCAGCAGATTATCCTCTCGATCTCGTCATGCTGTTCATAAAAGGTGACAAATGTGTAAGACTGTAAGTTGTAGTTGAAAATGGACTGTTGCTATAGAATTGGTCCTGTAGTTATTATAAAACAAGAATATGTCTGTTTAACCTACCATGGTAATATAATTTAGAGGGGTTTTTTTTAATAGAGAAAAATGAATTATTCTTTGCTGCTTATAATAGGTTCTGCTTATCACACAGCTTGGAATTCTTTTTGAAATTGTAATCTAGTGTGTTTTGTGAAATGTGATCTAATCAGAGAAATGAGCACATGCTCCTGCTATGACTAAAATCTGTTAGCCATCTTCAGGCCAAATTCCGCTGACTCTTCTGATTGTCCTAAACATTTGCCTGAACTACTTCTCTGTAGGAGTTAGTTTACAAAACTTTTTCTTAATTTTTTTTTTTTTTTTTGAGACAGTCTCACTCTTCACCCAGGCTAGAGTGCAGTGGCTTGATCTCAGCTCACTGCAGCCTCCGCTTCCGAGGTTCAAGTGATTCTCTCACCTCAGCCTCCCAAGTAGCTGGGATTACAGGCACATGCCACCACGCTCAGCTAATGTTTTTGTATTTTAGTAGAGATGGGGTTTCACCTTATTGGTCAGGCTGGTCTTGAACTCCTGACCTCAAGTTATCTGCCTGCCTCGGCCTCCTAAAGTGCTGGGATTACAGGCGTGAGCCACCTCTCCCAGCCAGTTTAACTCTAGGCTTGAGTTTATGCACAGTAAAGTTGATCTGCCTTGGACTTAATGACCAGGGGGATTATCCCTCTTTTCTTTCCAAATATGAATCTTAAGGTTTCTTCCTTGTGGCATATTTCTTTTCTCCCTTGCACTAGTTGAAGATATATTTATGTGGAGGCAAAGTTGTTCTTTTTTACCCCTCTTCTTCTCTGTAAATTTCCTTGAATTAGGACACCTGTGATTTATGCCACAAACCCATTCACTTCCTGTTGTCTCAGACTTGGCAAAGGTAGAAACACTAAAGCAACCTTGCAGGATGAGTTCAAACTTTCAGAGGTACTGAAGCTTTGAAAGGCTGTAGTGTGTCCTCTACTGTATATAATTAAAAATAAGACTATTTCTCCTATTGATACAAAAATTTACATGTGTGCTGAAATAAAAATAGTTTCTAGGTGTTTTGATTGCAAAATCAAAACAAATTAGATATGTGTATTAAATTCATTGAAGCTAGAATTTTCTGTGCTTACAGCTCCTCAACCCACTTATTTTGTGCACCTCTTTACTTTTACCCTAAAATCACTGTTAATTTTCCTGTTGTAAAATTGTCTGTTTCTGTTCTTTCAATTACTTAAATCCAGTCTCATTAAATTCTTTGGATTTTTGTATGCTAACATAGCCTGTCATATTCATCTCTTCTCTGCCTCCTTATCTCTTCTCCCCCTTAAACTAATCATTTATCACCACTGTCTGAGCTTATTCTGGTATTCTTCTAACTAACCATTATCCCTGCTTTCAGGATATCTGTCCTTTGTTTCTTTCTTTCTCTTTTTTTGAGACAGAGTCTTGCTCTGTTGCCCAGGCTAGAGTGCAGTGGCTCAATCTTGGCTCACTGCCGCATCCACCATCCAGGTTCCAGTGATTCTCTTACCTCAGCCTCCTAAGTAGCTGGGATTACAGGCACCCAACACCATGCCTGGCTAATTTTTCTATTTTTAGTAGAGACAGGGTTTCACCATGTTGGCCAGGCTGGTCTTCAACTGCTGACCTCAGGTGATCCACCTGCCTTAGCCTCCCAAAGTGCTGGGATTACAGGCATGAGCCACCATGCCCAGCCAGTATTTCTTTTCTTTGATCTACCCTCTACCCTTTACCCAGGGTCAGTTCTTTTTAAAGAGAGAGCTTAAAATATGGAGGGAAATGAATATCAGCATGTTAAATACATATGGTATTAGTATATTTATTAAAACTATTACTGATAATTTTGTTTATTTCTTCTATGTGCTGTATCTGTGAGGTGCTGCTGAAATTTTTTTTGAAGCTGTAACAGTTTTAACTTGTTTCTGGAGTATAATTTTCTCCATATTGAACATATTCTGTTTACTAAATTTACCTAGAAATTAGACATCTGCATTACAGTATCAAACTTTTAGGATTTTTTTGTATGTACAGTTTATTATAAGCAATGTTTGGGTTTACATTATGAAGACACATTATCCTGTGAGCCCGCTGACATCCAAGAAACCTGACCAATTAAGGAGCAATTATAGGCCCCAAAATTAACAAGAACATCAACTATTTTATTATGTAGATGCCACAGTCTTTTGTACCATGAATTATTGTGGTTCGGATTGTTATTGTCATAGTCCTTATTCTGTTAAGGCCTATAAATTTATCTTCACAATAGGATTTGCTATAGGCCTTCTCGGCCAGCAGGTTCTGACTTTAAGAGTCTTTTCTGAAAGGGTATCAAGAGGCAAACGAAGACAGTCAGTTGAGCACAGAAACATTAAACACAAGAAACAATGCTCCTCATGTCTAAACAGATTTCTATCAAATTTAGAAACTTAATAAGCTAAGGAGCTGGTGGAAGAAGTTCAAATTGTTACAGATTTTGTAGAGGGCAGTTGGTAATGTGTAGCACCTTTAAACTTTTTTTCTCTTTGATTTCACCACTAGAAATGTATGCAAAGGGAATAATCATATATAAATGTTAATGTATGTGCAAAGACATTCACTTTGGCCTTGTTCATAATAGGAACATGTATTAAGTTAGGGTATTATTCACTGAAGTGTTTAGAGGTTGATATGGCTTGGCTGTGTCCCCACTCAAATCTCATCTTGAATTGTATCTTCCATAATTCCCATGTGTTCTGGGAGGGACCTGGTGGGAGATAATTGAATCACAGGGGCAGTTTCCCCCCATACTTCTCTCTTGGTGGTGAATAAGTGTCATGAGATATGATGATTTTATAAAGAGTTTCCCTTTCGCTTGGCTCTCATTCATTCTTGCCTGGTGCCGTGTAAGACGTGCCTTTTGCCTTCCGTCATGATTGTGAGGCCTCCCCTCTTATAAACTACCCAGCATTATCAGCAGCAGAGTAATACAGAGGTGAAGGACTAGAGTGTTTATAACCTACCCTCAAATGTTCAGAAGAAAGAGTTAGGTGTTTTATACACACACACACACACACACACTGAAAATAGTAAGACAAATGTTAACAGTGCATATCTGAGTAAAGAACATTCTTGGCTGGTGTGGTGACTCACGCCTGTAATACCAGCACTTTGTGAGGCTGAGGCAGGTGGATCACCTGAGGTCAGGAGTTCGAGACCAGCCTGACCAACATGTTGAAACCCTGTGTCTACTAAAAATACGAAAATAAACCAGGTTGGTGGCACATGCCCATAATCCCAGCTACTTGAGAGGCTAGGGAGGCTAAGGCACAAGAATCGCCTGAACCTGGGAGGCAGAGGTTGCAATGAACTGAGATTACACCACTGTACTCCAGCCTGGGGGACAGAGCAAGACTCCATTTCAAAAAACAAAAGCAAAAAAACTCATCTCTAGTCTGCTCTAAATTTGTCTTTAAACTTAATAAATCATTTTTTAGTTGCACATTATTTTTAAGTTAGATACTAATATCCTTAAACATAAAATTATTATAATTCCAGTCCACATCCCCATTAGAAAGTCTGATGTGTTCTTTTGAAAGATCCTGGCATGATTATTAAATAGTAATGGAAATTGTCAGCTTGACAGTTCTCTTTATGGAATTTGCCAAAGCTCATTGACGTCATCCAGACTGGAGGGCTTGGTCTCTGCCAACATCCAACAAGATGTAATACAAGGAATATGTTTCTTTACAGTGTTTCTCATGGCCTCACAAATGCAGTTTTTTCCATTTTCTTTTTGCTCTTGGGACACAGTAATGTTCCAGTCCATGTAAGTATGTTTCACTCATAATCATGAGCTCTGTATTCATTTTAGCAGTTTACTTCATCCCATGCTAGGGCAGAATGGGGGAGGTGGGGAACCTTTCAAGATATTTACACTGTAGCCTAAAAGCTCTTAACTTCAGGCTTTTAGTTTTATTCATCTTTTTATTCTGGTCTCTGGCCTGTGCTGGCTCTTAGTAGAGACTGAATATATTTTTCTTGCATTGAATTGACTGTGGTTATATATCTCCTACAGTTAGATTTTATAGGGGCCTGTTTGTAGTTCTCTCCATATAATCTGTATTAACTGTTAACCAAGTTCAGGTTAACTTGCCAGCCTGTGCTTATAGCTATGGTATTGTAGACTAAGATCTTGCTGCCTTTCTGTTGAATCATGTGTCTCATGTTGTCTTTATTACAGTGACTGTATGAAAGCATACAGAATTTTCCCTAAATTTCCCTTAGTTCCTCATGTACATTTGATTTGAAGTTGTTTCCTGTTTTTCTTACAAGACTGTATTAGACTTCGATTATTTGTTTCATACTTAGTTGTATTATCACATGAAAGAACATGTTTCATAAACGCTTATATCATACTGATTATATTGTCTTAGTTTATCTCAGTCTTTAATATCTAATAACTCCCATAAAGGGCAGATTCTATTTATTTTGAAGCTTTTAGTGCTTTTCCTTTTTAGGTGTACAAATTGTTTGCTCAGCATTTCCCTCAGCCATGCAGTTTTCTTCAGTATTGTATTTTTCTCTTATCTTAACTTTCATACTGTACTGCATGGTCATTACTTTCCTATTCACAAGCATACTTTTTTCCAGCCATTATCTGTTTGGTCTGCTAAAGCAGCTGTCCATCATTTGTAATTTAGTCTCATTCAAACTCGAGCTTGCCAGCTTGTGCTTGTAGCTATGGTATTGTAGACTAAGATCTTATTTGTCTGGAGGGTCTATTAAATTGTAGTTTGTTCCCAATCATTCATTTCTCTTGAAATCACATCAGGTTGTTTCAAAGCCAGCATTTCTTTAATAGTTCATGGCGCTATCCCAGGAAACAATAATTCCATGTCCCTTTTTCCTGTCTTTTCTGTCACCCATGCTCCTATCTCCTTTCTAGTATAATTCCTTACAAAGTGGTGCTTGTAGAGATTAGCACTGCTGTATTGAATTGCATTAGGAAACAGAGGATTCTGCCCCATGTCTGTGTAGTTTTTTTAAACTTTTATCTGGTTCCCAGGTGGTTCAGAAATGCCTACATTTGAGAACCACTAATCTTTGTTTCTTATTTGCCCTAAGGTTGAAGGAACAGAGTGTTTTGTCTTATAGATATCTTCCCTAACTTGATAGCATAAATTATGGTATTGACCAATATGTATTGGATCTTAATACAATTTAATGGTATTTTAATTTTGCTTGTGCTTTGGGAATTTGATGAAATTGGAAATTCAGCTTAAGGCTTTATTTTGTATGTTAAGTTTTGAAGGAAGTGCATTAAGACTTTGTGTACTTTTTCATTTTCTCAGCTTACTTTAATGAGGGAATTAAGAATTTAATGACTGAGAAGCTAGGCTATGTTCAACGCCTTGAGTTTCAGCATAAGAGGGATCTGGTATATCCTATATCTATAGGATCCTATATCCCAGCTCTGAAGAATAATAATGCCTAATCCGTAACAATAAGAGTAATCTTTTTATAGTGTTTTATATCTCCTATTTTATTAAATTTTTTCAAAGTGAACATTGAATTCTGCATAATCTAAAAATTAGATCAATGTTATATGTATAACCAATAGAATTGCTTAAGGGAGGAAATATTGGTTATACATATAACATTGATTTAATTTTTAGATTATGGGTGGCTAATTTATTTCTTCGGTTCATACTGAAATTTAAGCTGTATATTCATTTTATATACACACACACACACATTCTCTCTCTCTCTCTCTCTCTCTCTCTCTGACACATACACACACACACACACAGTTTTTATAGAAATATAAAGAGATGGAGTCTGACTATGTTGCCCAGGCTGGTCTTGAACTCCTGGGCTCAAGCAATCCTCCCACCTCGGCCTACCAAAGTGCTGGGATTATAGGTGTAAGTCACTATACCTGGCCTATATATTCATTTTAAGGTAAACTATGTGCATATTTTGAAATATTTTTAGTGTTTCCCATTATTTCTGCAGTACATTAGTTTTCAGGGTGAAGTTATACTGTCATGAAAAATAAGTCTTGTTTTGTTAAAATAAATAGTATGAAGTATTTAAAAGTGTTTTATATTCATAATAATGACCATGTCTATTAAAATATTTTTTCTTTGCCAAAAATGCACAGACATACTGCATATATTATCTAATTTAATCTTTTTGGCAGTCTTGTGAGGCCTATTTTATAGATGAAGAAACTGAAGATTAGAGACCTTAACTAACATGTTTAATGTCACAAAACTAGTAAAAGTGGCAGAATTGGGATTCAAACTCAGTTGTGTCTAACTCCTAAGCCCCTGTGTTCTCATGTAGTTTGCTGCTCTGCCTGTCCACATCAGCACATGCTGCTCTGCTAATGACCATTGCTCCAGACACCTACCTGATTTTCCTCCATTCATGCATGCATGCTAAGTGTAAAAGTTTTTCTAAGAAAATGAGTCCCATAGATGTAGGATAAATATAATTACCCAATGTTAACGTTTAGATACCACTCCTGTTGTTTTGAGGGAAACCAAGAGAAAGAAAGGGAAGGTTAGAATATAAAACACCTTCAGGTTTGTTTTAATACCAGCACCATTCATTACCTTGCCCTAGACTAGAGTTAAAACCTTATAGCACTGAATTTAAAAAAAAAAATTCAAATAATCTCCAAGGGTAATGCATGATTGGTATCTACATTATTAAGGTGGCAGATACAGTGGCTGCAGGGCTCCCTCTTGTGGACTATTAGAGCATGTAGTGGTCTGGTCGCAAGAGCCAGAGGCTTTTCTGTTAAAGGCCTCTTTTGTGGCATCGGTTGTGGGAAAACATGGAATTTGGGTGACAGAGGAGAGTCTGTGGAAGAGTCAGGAGTAATACTGTTCTGGTTATGTTGGGTCTTCAGCCCTTTTGCTTCCTTGACCTGCGGCTTCTATTTCCTGTCTACTTTCTAACATGAGGCGGGAAAAGCAAGAGAAAAGCATGTCTTTTACATGCGCCTGCTATCCCATTTTTAATGATTTGGCTTAGAGAAGCTAAGAATGGGTGACTGGAAGTAATATCCGTGATCAGTAAGTCACAGTATTCATTTAGTTTTGGTGGAGGCTGGTAGTTCGTTCATAGTCACATAGTGAGGTAATGTGATATTTTAGAAAAGAGCCAGGAAAGCCAACTGCTCTTTAATAGTAACTTGATTAATTCACTGAGCCCTGTTGGGTTTCTAAGCTGGATTGGAATGTAGGTAACCATGTAAACTAGCACAAGCCTGGCACTTAGAATAAATAGTCGAGGCTTGATGGAAGAGGAGCTTTAATAAAGGCAAGTTTAATCTGTTGTGTATTATGCTGTGAAATAAATAATAACTTGTCTCATGTCACAGAGTGAGCTCATGAGAATATTGGCAAAAGGGCCAGGTGCGGTGGATCACGAGATCAGGAGTTCAAGACCAGTCTGGCCAACATGGTAAAACCCTGTCTCTACTAAAAATATAAAAATTAGTTGGGCATGGTGGTGCATGCCTGTAATCCCAGCTACTTTCGAGGCTGAGGCAGGAGAATTGCTTGAACCTGGGACCTGGGAGGTGGAGGTTGAAGTAAGCAGAGATCGTGCCAGTGCACTCCAGCCTGAGCTACAGAGTGAGACTCTATCTCAAAAAAAAAAAAAAAATATATATATATATATATGTAAGAGGGTCAAATTTTGTTCGGATGAAAATACTAGTTAAATTCTTATGGTCATTCTTGCTTGTTCCCAGTTCCTCATGTATCCTCTCTCCTGTATTCCTAAATGATGCTAATTATTCAAATTGATAACCTTTCCTCTCTGTAGTGGCCTCTATTTGCTTTTTTCACTCAGGTTTCTCTAACCCGCTGACAAAACATCTGGGTACAGCCTTCCCAGCACTGCCCTTCTTTCTTTCCCAATAATAGGAGTCTATAGACTTTTCCAAAGTAAGAATTTTATGTGTAATTACGCTCAGGAAACAGTGTCTGTGTGAGGAGGGGGTGGGGGGCAGGGAGGAAACATGAAGAAACTTAAAATTTCTGACAATCCTAAAGTGATCTCATGTTTTATCCTTGATTTATAATTTCTGATCCCTCTTCTTAGGTCATATTTTGGAAGCAATTCTAGGACAGTTCTGGAAATCTCTCTAATTTTCTTTGAGAACTTTGTCTCCAGTTTGGCATGGTTTTTAGACACTATTGAAGTACACTCCTATTCCTTGTTGTACTTCTGAAGATTTATTCCAAGGGAATCTATTAGGTTGTATACAAAAATGTGTTTATAAGGATCTTTATTACAGAATTGTTTGTAAGCAAAATAAGTTTGAAACAGTTTTACAGCAAAAAGATTAAGTGAATGATAATAATTTCATACATTAGACTAATACATGGCTAGTAAAAGTGATGTCACATATATTTATTGGCATGAAAAGATACTTGATAAATTCTGTTTTGTTTTGGGTTGGGTTGGGTCGGGTCGGGTCGGGTCGGGTCGGTTCGGTTCGGTTTGGAGACAGAGTGAGTCTCACTCTGTCGCCCAGGCTGGAGTGCGGTGGCGCAATCTCAGTTCAGTGCAACCTCCACTTTTCCAGGTTCAAATGATTCTCCTGCTTCAGCCTTCCTAGTAGCTGGTATTAACAGGCGCCCACCACCACACCCAGCTAATTTTTGTATTTTTAGTAGAGATGGGATTTCCCAGGCTGGTCTCAAACTCCTGACCTCAAATGATCCGCCCGCCTCAGCCTCCCAAAGTGCTAGGATTATAGGCATGAGCCACTGTGACCAGCTGATAAATTCTTACGTGAAAAAAAATACTGTTAACTTTCTCAGATAACAGAAAAATTCTATGTATACATATATATAGAAAATAATTCTTAAAAAATCTAGAGTACCAGGGTGTTAACAATGGTAGTTTCTAGACACAGGTAAGTTCTCACATGTGACCTTTCCCCATTCTCAAACCTAGGCTGAGCAGAATACAGGTTTTGGGGTTCTCATGCCAGAAAAGACCTTTAGGGAAAAACTCCTTTTAAAGGAAAGGGGTGAATACCGTTCAAAATGACAGAGTAAGAACCTCCAGGGGTTGTTCTTTCCACTGAAACAACTACCCAGTTAGAATGACCAGAATCTACCATTTCAGCACTCTGGGTCCTGATCGGACACTTAGAACCACCAAGAGAGTGCTTGATGAAGGTAGAGGCCACTGTTTTTTTGGCAGCATGGCTTGGGTGAACCAGTGACCATCCCCCATTCCTCAGCCCCATGTCCTGTGGGGTTATGAACCATATACCTGCAGTATCTGGCTGAAACCAGGGTGGGCAGTGGGGACCTTGGTGTTCTAGTCAGTCTGGCGGATCCCTGAGGGATTGATGCAGATGGTTTCCCAAGATTTGGCCCTCTTGGCTGCAGGGGTTTCCCCCAGTGGCATCTATCAGAAGATTTAAGGAGATAGTACTCTCCCGACCCCCTCACCCGTATTTTGGAGCCAGACAGTTAAGGAAATCTGTGCCAGATCACTGGCTGACTGTAGAGATAATGGAACAGAAAATTCAATGATTTCCTACAAGGAATAGAAACAGGCAAACAGATAAGCAAAGGCAAAGATAGTTTAGAAAAGTCATAAAATGCAAGCAGGTATCCCCATGTGCCTCCCTGAGGTCCATGGAATGAGTGGATCTGGGGGTGCTGCCGCTGAATCAAGACATGTTCCTTTGCCCTCTCTCGGACACATAATGGCGGTAAGAATGGTTCTGTTTCTCTGCGAGAGAGACAGACTGCCTATGGCTATGGGACAGATTCCATGGCCAGAAGGCCCTGAGCATAGCTGGCAAGTAAGACTGATGCTGGTAGCCCTGGGACACATGGGATAGACCTGATTCTGGAGTGGGCTTTGCTTACCTGTGGAAGATGCAAATCCTTAGAGTGCCATTAAAGAGCTAGAACAGAAGAAACTGCATGGATTTGGATGGAACATACTGTACAGCCCATAATGTTCAGCAGTGGGCAGACAGATAACTTCCTCAGAGTATAGTCTGAAAGATAAGTAGAACTGGCATTTGAAACACTGTCTATAACAGAGGGAGATGAAAGCACAAAGGGCTGGCTTACTCACCATCACGAGTGTGTGCCCACATTCAGCATGAGTGGGACTAAGGGAGTGTACCCACAAGATTTTTGTCTGTTTTTCTGGTTGATCTGGTGAAGAGGGGTTGGGGAGGATGCTGATATGACTATAAATTCTTGCCAAGGGAGAAGCACACTGGTATAACAACTATAGTTTTTCTTTCTTTCTTCCCCAAATCACCTAAAAACTTCTTTTTTTTTCTTCTACCTGATACAGTAGTCCTAGGACTACAAGTGCTAGAAGCAAGGATTATTTCTAAGTAGGAAAGTGTAACTGTATTTTTAAGCCTTATGTCAGAATTCCTGAGGGCCTAATGGTGGATTGTGCCTTCACCCCATCTGCCAAAATTGGGACTGAGAGTGAATACAGCTGTAATGCCTAGTGGTAAAAATGGCTCACTAGTTCAGAACCTTTGTAACCCTACCCTCTGTGAATGGGAATGGACAGAGGGAAAGGTGCTTGCTAGACTAGTATTACAACCAGCAATCTGAACCAGCACAGAGACTAAACTTAATGCTCCTTACAAATGTGGAAACATTTAAGTAAAAATAAATGACAGGTGAAGAAAAGGAGAACTAATAACTGAGGCTAAAAAAATGAATAAATGGGTTATAAATTGAGGGAAATCCAATATTACATTTTAAGTGTTAGAGCAGGAGACAGCATTACCTCTTAGCTCAATTATTCCAGATGCCTCAAAGGATAACGCTGTATGTTTGCCAAGACTACTCCTGCTTTTGGAACCTGACAAGATCTTAAAAAAGCCTACAAACCTGAGTCTCCCTCATCCTGGAAGACA